CCCTTAATTTTCTTTTCCAGCCAAGAGGGAGTTTGTTTTGTAGCAAATATTACTCGTTGCACCTATGTAAGTACTACAGGGAATGCAGAATGGTTTGTGAGTATGCTAAAAGAAGACGCCACCTGGTAGTCTCAAATAGACCTGGTTGGATTCTGGGATATATTTTCATTATCTAGGTGTGATAATCTAGGCCCATAACTTTGAGACTTTTTTATTTTTATTTTTTGAGATGGAGTCTGGCTCTGTTGCCCAGACTGGAGTGCAGTGGTGCCATCTCGGCTCACTGCAACCTCCACTTCTCGGGCTCAAGCAATTTTCCTACCTCAGTCTCTCCAATAACTGGATTTACAGGAGTCCGCCACCATGACTGGCTAATTTTTTTTGTATTTTTATTGGAGATAGGATCTTGCTATGTTGGCCAGACTTGTCTCAAACTCCTGACGTCAAGTGATTTGCCTGCCTCGGCCTCCCAAAGTGCTGCGATTACAGGTGTGAATCATCACACCCAGCCATGGTATCTATTTCTGATAACTGCTTTTATTAATTACAATTAACATTGCTGATGCTCTTCCCAGAGTCCTTTTATATTGAACTTGTACCAGACAGCCATTTTCATACCAGAGAATGCAGCAACCTATCCTGCAGCAAGCTGGAAGGACTCACTACAGTCAAGTACAGACTACATTCTCAAAACCATTTCCTTATCAGCAATGGGGAAAACCCGGGTATCATGGAGTAACATCCTACAGCCTGACTTTGTCTGTCTTTTACAGAAAGAGACTCACTCTGTTGCTCAGGCTGGAGTGCAGTGGCGCCATATTGGCTCACTGCAACCTCCACTTTCTGGGTTCAAGTGATTTTCCTGCCTCAGCCTCTGAGTAGCTGGGATTACAGGTGCTCACCACCATGCCCAGCTAATTTTTTTTTCTGTTTTTCTTAGAGACAGAGTTTCACTGTGTTGGCCAGGCTGGTCTCAAACTCCTGACCTCAGGTGATCTGCCTACCTTGGCCTCCAAAAGTAATGGGATTACAGATGTGAGCCACTGTGCCCAGCCAGGGAAGGCAAATGTTCTTATAGAAGTCTCAAAACTCAACTGAGTTATGTCTTCTAGTTAACCAAGCCTGCCTCTCTCTTCCCTCTGTCCCAGGTGCCTTTGAAGTCTAGCCTACCCATATCTCCAGGGTTATCTGAGCAGGCCTCTGTCCTCCAGGAAGCCCTGCTAATCCTGTTTTGGCTCAAGGACTCCAGTCCTCCAGCCTTGGGGCTTCACCTGTGTTATGGGGCCAGGCTGTCGTGAATAAGAACTTTCTTGAGCTTCATGCCAACAGAACCAATCATCCTTGATGTATCAAGACAAAAAGAACCAACATTTTGGGAGGCCAAGTTTTTCTCTCCTAGGATTCCAGAACGGTGACTGAAGGAGAGGCAGTATGTTTCTATGATGGAATGTGGGATAACACAACGGCCTGAATAATAATTTCTACCTGGGGTGGGATGCAAATGGAGGGAATTGCTCAGGGAAGGCTTTACAAAGGAAGAAGAGGGTTGTGTTGAGTCATGAAGGATGAGATGGTCAAGGGGTCAGGGGCAGGCAAAAGGAGCATCATTTGCAAAGGCATAGAAGAATGAAACAGAATGGTACATTTTGGGAATTCTAAAATTGTTCACTACAGGCAAAATATAGGTTGTGAGGAAGAGGAGCAGCGGGGGAAGAAGGTGGAGCAGTCCGGGCTGGGTTTGGTGGCTCATACCTGTAATCCCAGCATTTGGGAGGCCAAGGTGGATGGATCACCTGAGGTCAGGAGTTAGAGACCAGCCTGGTCAACATGGCAAAACCCCATCTCTACTTTGTGGTGAGTGCCTGTAATCCCAGCTATGCAGGAGGCTGAGGCAGAAGAATCTCTTGAACCTGAGAGGCGGAGGTTGCAGTGAGCTGAGATGGCACCACTGCATTCCAGCCTGGGTGACAGAGCAAGACTCCATCTCGGGAAAAAAAAAAAAAAAAGAAGGTGGAGAAGTCCAAAAGGGACCAGATCATAGAAGACCTTTTGTTGCAATGCCACAGGGTTTTAACTTTATAAGTGGTATCATCTGTCAAATAATTTTGACAGAAAAGGCACATGGTCAGATTTGCATTACAGAGAAAGAAATCTACTCTGTTAACACAGATATATCTTCCTGCTTTTTCCTTTGTCCCCTTACAGTCAATTTTTAGCATAGCAGCCTAAGTGATCTTTTTAAAACATGTCAGATCATGTTATTCTTCTGCTCAAAACTCTGGCTTTACTCAGATCTTGGTTTCTAGACATGATTTTCTTCTAAAAGGAACCAGAGTCCTTAGAGAAATGGTGGATTCTAGCTATGAAGCAAGGAAAAATGCAAGATTCTACATAGAACATCTTGTGAAAGAGTGTAAGAAAGTGCTCAGAAAATCACAGGTCTATATATGTCAAAAGGACACAGAAGCCAGGTTGAAAGGGCTCCCATTGGACAAACCTGGGACAAATTCAACATCAACATAATAGTAGTAATAGATTGTAACTCACTAATTAAGAGAGAAATACATAAGTCCATACTGGTAAAAATGAATGAATAAATATGAGAGAAGGAAAAACTCTCCCTTTCAGTAGAAAGCATACTCATACATGCAGAAAAATGAGGGAAATAGAAAACCACGATTTGGCAGGCAACCATCAGGCAAAAGTTAACAATGAATACTAAAACCATTGCTTAAGTTTTTTTTTTTTCCTTACAGAGTCTCACTGTCACTTAGGCAGAAGTGCAGTGGTGCAATCTTGGCTCACTGCAACTTCGACCTCCCAGCTCAAGCAATCCTCCCATCTCGCCCCCCAAGTAGCTGGGCCACAGGCGTGTGCCACCACACCTGGCTAATATTTTCTAGAGATGGAGTTTTGCAATGTTGCTTAGGCTGGTTTCAAACTCCTGAGCTCAAGCGATCCACCCATGTTAGTCTCCCAAAGTGCTGGGATTATAGGTTTGAGGCACTGTGCCCAGCAGGTTAAAGTTTTGAGGAGGAACAGGATACTTACAGAGGCTCAAAGCATTTCTGCACAAATCACTTATAAATCACTTGTAAGTTGCAAATGGGAAAATGATAACTCTGCAGCGGAGAAATGTGGTGAACATTACCTTAACCAAGTGTTCAAAGTTAATATCCTCAATGATGGGGCAAAGTGACATCATGCATGCGCTGATGTGATGCACTGAGAAGGATGCACCATCACCTCTGTGCTGCAAAAAAAGTATAACCTGAATGATGAGGAAAGCTTAGAGAAACCCAAATTGAGGGATATTCTATATAATAGCCAGCCTGTGTGCTTCAAAAATGTCAGTGTTATTTAAGTCAAAGAAAGGCTAAGGAACATTTCCAGGTTAAAGGAGACTGGAAAACCGTGACAACTAAAAGCAGGGTCTACATTAGATACTGGATCAGAGGGGATCATGCAATAAAGGACATTAATGAGACAGTTGCCTAAATATGAATGTGGGCTGTATATGAAGTAGCATTGCATTAATGTAAATTTCCTTATTTTGATAGTTATGTAAGAAACTACTCTTGTTCTCAGGAAAATGCCTGCTAAAGTATATGGAATGAGGGACAGGATGTCTCCAATTTACACTCAAATGCTTCAAAAATATATGTAAGGAAAGATAAGGCAAATGTGGCAAAATGTTAACAATTTGGAGAATCTGGACAAATGATAGATGAGAGTTCTTTGTACTATTCTTACACCACGTCTGTAAGTTTAATGCTATTTCAAAATACGTTTCTTAAAACCCTGCAGTGGCTCCCCATTCTCCAGAGTAAAACCAAAGGTCTTAAAACAGCCTGCAAGCCCCTGTGTGATTTGGCTTTTTATCACCTCTCTCACCTCTTCGCTCACCGTTTTCCCCTTAGCTTGCTCTGCTTCTGGCACATTGACCTCAATACTGCCCCTAGAAAGGCTCCAAGCAGCCTGCAGTGCTCAGGGTATATCCTCCTGCCCAGAACGCTCTTTCTTCCAGTATCCCCATGGCTTATTCCCTCACTTCCTTCAGGTCTCTGTTCAAACATCACTTTTCAGTGAGGACATCACAGATCCTCTATTTAAAATTGCATTCTCAGCTGGGCGCAGTGGCTCATGTCTGTAATCTCAGCACCTTGGGAGGCTGAGGTGGAAGATCACCTGACGTCAGGAGTTCGAGACCAGCCTGGTGAAACCAGGTGTTTTGGAGCCAACATGGTGAAACCCCATCTCTACTAAAAATACAAAAATTAGCCAGGTATAGTGATGCATGCCTGTAATCCCAGTTACTCAGGAGGCTGAGGCAGGAAAATCACTTGAACCCAGGAGGCAGAGGTTTCGTGAGCCGAGATCACTCCACTGCACTCCAGCTTGGGCCGTGGAGCAAAAATAAAAATAAAATTGCATTCCCCACCCTCCTTCCAAAAATCCTTATATCCCTTTTCCACTTCGCTTCCCTCTATGACTTTTTTCACCTTCTAATATGTTATATGCTTTACCTATTTTTCTTTTGTTTACTGTCTACTTCCATTAGAACATAAAAGAATTGTTAATTAATTTTAATTTTATGAACCAAAACTAAATAGAAACACAAAACAAAAACCCCAAAACTGTTAGAGCCTTTTCTTTTATTTTTTCTTTCTTTTTGGCCTGTCGAATGCTTACTCCACTGACATTATCTACAGGAGCACTTGGCCAGTTTGTACACAGTGATTCCTTATTCACCCCTAAAGGGTTTCCATGAATATGATGCTATATACACATCTGTACACCCATCCATCCACCAGAGTGATTCTCCAGCTCCCAGAGGGAGTTATCAACTTAAAGCAGGACACCTGAGTTTTCATGTCTTTAGTTGCCTTATCATCATCCCAAATATACATTTCAGGGTTTGTTTTTGTTTTTAAATATACTTTCCTTGAATATGTGCACTGTGGTTAAAATTAAAAACAAAAGTGATATAATAAAATCATCGCTGAAAACAGCTGACCCTCCCATTCATCTGAGAGACTTCATCTGGCTGCAGCACAGTGAGGACTGTATGTGTCCCTGGACAGGCGCCCACGTTGGGGTGGTCTCCAGTGGCACATCTCTTCAGTGGAGTCAGTGAAGGCTCTCGTTGACTTTAAAAAAGGAGGAGGATGAAGAAGAAAAAGGCAAAACAAAACTCCAAATGACAAAGGAATTTCAGTGGGATGAAGTTCCTCCACCACTTAGTGAATATTTCTGGAGCCGCTGCACTAGCTGGGTCACTATGGTGTCTGTGATGCCGGGGCACGCTTCCTCCGCCAGGTAGATGGCCCCTCGCAGCTTTTCAATGGATCCCAAGTTCCCTCTGCACGCCTGGATCTTTTCCTTCAACTCTGCAAACAGAGGAGAAATAATTGTAGATAAACACTGAGAGAAAGGCCTCTTTGGGATGTCTTCTATCTTATTTCTGTCTAAGTCCGACTGCTGAAGAGCTCCATTCTCGAGATTCTTGGGATCTTTTTCTCGGATTGTGAAGATCCAGTTCCCAGAATCGCTGCTGCCTAAGGCTTGGCCATCTGTTTCTGCGTCGGAATCCTCAGAGCTCGAGTTTTCGTGGCTCTGCTCGGCCTTCCATCTCTTGTGGCTGTCGATGAGCTCGGTCAAGTAGGAAGCTTTCTTTGCATTTCGTAGTATAAACTTGTGCATCAATAACTCCTTAGCAGTGGGTTTAAAGCTCATTTTCTTATTCAAATAGGCCTCCACAAACTCCTTGAGGGGTTTGTGTAATTTCCTCCCAACGCTGGTGGGTTGTTCTTTGGAATGAGGAATAAAACTTTCATGGGGTGCAGCCCGGAATGAGGTGGTTCCCCTTTTGCAAGTTCATTAGCTGTATGCCTAGAGACCAGATGTCTGCCTTCGAGTCGTAGGCCGACTGTTTGATGACCTTGGGTGCCATCCAGAACGGGGTGCCCACGGAGGTGTTCCTTTTGATCTGGATGTCCGTCTGCTGGCTGGCCACACCAAAGTCCACCAGCTTCACCTTGCCATGCTCAGACAGCAGGACGTTGGCCGCTTTAATCTGTGGATTTTCTTCTCCGAATGGAGATAATCAAGTCCTTTCAATATTTCTCTTAATATAGTACTGATCTGGGTTTCATCTAATGGGCCAGGTTCTAATAGATTTAGTGCCTCCATCAAGATATTCCATTGTTATCTATAATTTTGCATCCTTTAGATAGGATCCATAATATTTGGTTACATATGGACTGTCACACTGAGTTAGCACTGTGATTTCTTGTTGAATGTCCTCTATCTCATCTTCAGCTTCTTCCAGATCAATGATTTTTATGGCAACCACTTTCTGAGTCCAGTTGTCAATGCCTTTGAACACCTCGCCTAAGGAGCCCTTCCCAATTTTCTCTACTTTTGTAAAAAGCTCTTCTGGATCTGCCTTTAGGTTCTGCATTCCGGGAGGTGAGACTGCACCGGGGAGTGAGTCTTGGTGCCCAGGAAGGCCAATTCCTGGAACGCGATGGCCTGGCTGTGTGCAGCCCTCGGGTGGCAGGGCCAGCCAGAGCCCGAGGCCATCCCAGCCCCAGCCGTCCCGGCTCAGCAGCTGGCGCTGGCCACATCTCCATGCACTGCACGGGGAAGGGGCTGCGGGGACCGCGGGGGCTCACGTGAACTGCCGCCGCCGCAGCCACTGCAGCTCAGCTGGAGCTGGGTGGACTGGGTCCGCCTAGAGCCTTTTCTTTTTTATTTATTTTTTTACATTAAAAACATTATTTATTTTACCTTAGGTGCATATTATATCTGGCATTTCTCCCCATGTTATCCCTCCCCACCCCCCACTGTCTCTCCCCTACCCCCTCAACTGCCCCAGTGTGTGATGTTCCTCTCCCTGAGTCCATGTGTTCTCGCTGTTCAACAGCCACCTATGAGTGATAACATGCGGTGTTTGATTTTCTGTTCTTGTGTCAGTTTGCTGAGAATGATGGTTTCTAGATTCATCCAAGTCCCTACAAAGAACATGAACTCATCGTTTTTGATGGCTGTGTAGTATTCCACTGTGTATCTGTGCCACATTTTCTTTGTCCAGCCTATCATTGATGGACATTTGGGTTGGTTCCAGGTCTTTGCTATTGTACACAGGGCTGCAATGAACATACTTGCGCATGTGTCTTTATAGTAGAACGATTTATAGTTCTTTGGGTATATACCCAGTAATGGGATTGCTGGGTCAAATGGAATTTCTATTTCTAGGTCCTTGAGAAATCGCCACACTGTCTTCCACAATGGTCGAAATAATTTACACTCCCACCAACTGTGTAGAAGTGTTCCTATTTCCTTTTCTAACTCCCCCAGCTGCAACATTAAATGCAAATCTTTGCTTACTGGGCTCCTACCCATTAATTTGACCTGTTCCAACTTTAAAACAGAAACTTTTTGAGGGCAGATAGAGTTACCTGTTTTGTTCACTGTGGAATCCCCAGCATCTCAGAATGCTGTCTGTACACAGGGGGCACTCAAATGATTGCGGACTAAATGAATACTGTTATGCTTGAAACATAAGTTGCAGAAGAATAGGTAATAATAGCTAATAATAAAGCATTTATTATGGACCAGGCAGTGTTCTAAGTGTTTTACATATATTATCTCATTGATATTGTACAAATAATAGAGGTGGATACCATCATCATCATTAACTCATCATCATCATCATTTCCATGTTGCAGATGAGGAAGCTGAGGCAGTGAGACATTAGAAAAACCATAGTCTGGCTTCAGAGTCTGTTTTGTTAGCTACTACGGTGTACTGCCTCTCTTGTGGTATGACACCTTTTATAGTATGTTTAAAAGCATGAGGCCAGTGCAGTGGCTCACACCTGTTATTTTATTTTATTTATTTATTTTTGTGTGTGTGTTCTTACAGTACTTGAAAATATTTAAGGAAAAGATGAAGCTCTGCAGTTTTTTCTATGTGGGATGATTACCTTTTAATTTTTTTATTATACTTTACGTTCTGGCACGTGTATACCTATGTAACACACCTGTTCTTCTGGCACTTTGGGAGGCCAGGGTGAGAGGAATGCTTGAGACCAGGAATTTGAGACCACATGGACAATATAGCAAGAGTCTATCTCTACAAAAAATACAAAAATTAGCCAGCTAGTGTATGCCTGTGGTCCCAGCTACTCCGGAGGCTGAGGTGGGAAGCTGCCACTTATTCCAGCATGGGTGACAGGCAGACCAATGCTGGAATAGAAAGAAAAAGAAAGAAAAGAAAAGAAAGAAGAAAGAAAGAAAGAAAGAAAGAAAGAAAGAGAGAGAGAGAGAAAGAAAGAAAGAGGAAGGAAGGAAGGAAAGAAGGAAGGAAGGAAGAAAGGCAGGCAGGCAGGCAAATATATGTGATGTTAAAAACATGTAATACCACTATGCAAAATAATACTGCACACTGTTAAGGAATGCCCACATATGTGGTGAAAGTGTGAAGATATGCATGGGAATGACAATGAGCAGGTAGTGAGTTGGGTAGTAGTTTTTAAGTTGGAAATCAAATATAATTAAAATTATCCTTCAAAATCTCTTAAGAAGTTGTCAGCACAGATGACTTTTCCTCCAGCATTGGACCCTTTTTCTGTTTCTATGGCTGAGCCCCAAATTCAATAGTTGGCTTTCTATTTCATGTTGTATGGAAATCACCACCCTACCAATTGGCCTGCTGGGATGCTCGCACTAGGAAAGGGGGAGGGAATGAAGACAGCTTGGACCTTCAACAGATTAAGGGTCTTTTCTAATGTTAGGAACAGGGACAGAGTTGCAGCAAGTTGCTCAGTTCAGCCCTCTCTGTGAAAGGACATGTAAATCAGCAGAGCCATATGGCTATCTAGGTCTTTCAGTTTTCAGGCATGGATGGCTCATATCCTGTGATAGCCTTTTCTGCTGCTTATCAATTCCTGTTGTCAACAATGACTTATTTATGTCTGACTCACATCTCCCACTGCAATTTCAGTCAATTTGCTACTTCTCTGTAGATACGGAGAGCAGATGGTCAACATTCTCCTTACAACCTTCCAGGGAATGGAAGATACCCACTGAAGCCCTCCCAGGTGGCAAATGTTTTCCTGACAAAAGAGTTCAAACCTCTTCTATTTTTTTTTGTACAAATTTAATTTTCTAGTTAATTCTTTCATTTGTGCTGTGTTGGATTTTTAACAAAATATGCAGTGTTTTTCTTTGAAAAAAAAACATGCAGAAGATTACAATTCTTACAGTACAAAAGCATGTTCAGTGAACACTGAGTTTCCCTTCCCCCACAAACCCCCCAGTTTCCCTCTCTAGAAGCAACTCTTCTTACCAGGGTTCTTTTCCAGAGAAATTTGATGACATATCCAAGTATATATGAATAATTCTCCTCTAAATTATTGTCTTCATTTCAGCAAACATTAATTAAGCACCTACTATGTGTCAGACACTGTGCTAACTCCTCGGGAAGGGCACAGAAAGAACAGAGATATGTTTCTCTGTCCTCAGGAAGCTTACACTCTAGTCGGGGAGAAAAGCATAGTTTATGAAGTATTGATTGAGCGTCTTCTATGTGCCAGGAAGCATGTGAACCACTGAAGAACATGGAGTTCCTGCCCTACCAGACTTAGTGTTGTGAGGGAGACAGATTAATGAGCAGGCATGGTATGAAATATAAACACATGCCAGAGAAGTGTCAAGATGTTTCTCGGTAATGGCTCCACATTATCTTGTAGGCTGTGTGGCCCCACGTGGGGGACAGGTCACAAAACCTAAGCCCTGTGCCTACTGGAAAGGAGAAGCGGTGGAGTCCTAGACAGGAGCAGTGGTACTGGAACCTGGTGCTGGGCTCTGGGCCAAACACTTTACATAGGTTGTGTTGTTTAATTTCACAGTATTATGAGGTGAGTTCCTTGATCAGTGTTTTACAAATGAGGACACTAAGGGTTCCAGAAATGTTAAGGGACTGGCCACAAGTCACACAGGTGGGACTCAAACTCAAGCCTGTCTTTCTGCAAAGTCTAGGTTCTTATTCACTACTCTGATCAGTCAGTGGGTTTTGTGGTGAATCATGGATGATTCCAATACACCTCCTCCTTCTCTGTTCCCCTGTGGAGAATCCTGGCCTTAAGCTGGGTTGGTTCAGCCTCCTATGAGACTGAATTTTCTATTGAAGGTATGAGATGAAGAGGAAAATGCACTGGTCTGGTAGTCAGGACACCTTGGTTCTAGCTCCTGCTTTACCTTTCACAAGCTCTATGACTTTGGACGAGTCATTCTACCCTTGGGATCTCAGGGGCTTCACCTGTGAAGTGTAGAGGCTGACAGGGATCATCGCTGAATCCTCCATGGATTTGGCGATACTTCCGTCACCCCTAGGGGGCTGTAATGACACCTTCTGGGACAAAAACAACATCCCCTTCTTGAGATGAACACAAAGCCACTTCAGTAAATTTATTTACTTTTGAGGTGACTTGAAAAAGAAATATCCAGTGAAGGTAAATAGCTGGCTTCACCTTACTGACGGAGTGAGATGTGAACATGTTCATGCCTCTTTGGCCTGTGCTTTCTGCTCAGAGTTCTGAACACCACCCCTCCTCCTCCCCACTTTCTCAATGAAGTGAAATGAGCCTTAGTCAAGTAAGCAAGTATCCATTTAATATATCCAATTTAATTAAAGCAATAATCAACTAGGAGCTGAAGATAATCCTTAGTGAAAACTGGGAGAGAGCCTTTCAAATTAATGGGTTATCGCACGGTTGTAATAATCTGAGAACTTTGCCCATGCTGATTTTATGCTCAGGAGAGCAGCTCCATGACGTGCTGTAAGCCGCAAAAAGAGGATCTACCGGGATCAATAAACCCCATAAAGCTAAGAGCAGAGAGGTTGGTTTGATGCAGAAAAGGAGGTGACTGAGGCATGGCCAGCAGAAAATGAGTCTCCTGTTTTGTGCTCCTTTCATTTCACATCAAACATAGGAATTTAGAGACCAGATCTGGTCATTTGAGTGTGGGAAGTTAAAAGAGTACAGTTTTCAGGTAAGTGTCTCTCTTCCTCCCTCTTTCCTTCCCTCACTCTTTCCTTTCCTTTCTTCTTTCCCTCCTTCCCTCTCTCTCTCCCCTTCCTTCCTTTAATTTTTTTCTGAATCACAAAAGTAACAAATACTCATCATAAAATAACCAAATTGCTTGTAATTGTGTCGGGTATAAAACTCAAGTCTTTAATCCTCACCCTTTTTTTTCTCTTTTCCTCTTTCTTTAGTTTTCCTTCTTCCTTCCTTTTATGTTTTTTCAAAATTGTGAAAGTAATGTATGCTTATTGTAAAGGCAAATAGTTCAGAATCATAGGAAGTAAAAAGGAAACATTTAATTCCCGTTCTTCCTTCCTCTTTCCTCCCCTTCCTTCCTGTCTTTCTTGCCTTCCTCTCTTTCTCCCTTTCTCCTTTCCTTTAATTTTTAAAATTACG